AGGGCAAAAGGAGAAGAAGGGGACGGCAGAGAAGGAGGTGGCTGGATGGAGTCACTGAAGCAGTCGGTATGACCTTAAATGGACTCCAGAAGATGGTAGAGGACAGGAAGGCCTGGAGGAACGTGGTCCATGGGGTCGCAATGGGTCGGACACAACTTTGCAATTAACAACAACAACAACAACAACTTCTTTTAGAATATTTAAGAACTTTTAGAATATTTAAGAACTTCTGGTGCATCTTCTTTAGTTTCTGGGAGACTGGCAAACTGGGGTTTCCCATGGCCTAAAGACAGAAGTTGTCCCAATGATTTTGATAAGGAATTCTCAAGGATTCTGCTTTCTGATAAACTATCAATGTGTTCCACTGCATTACAGTGAATTCTTTGACTGTTACTCTCTTTATCTCTGCTCGGTATTTCAGCTGAAATTGATGGCATTCCTTTGCCTTGACTGAAAATGGTCCTTCGCTACATGGAAATAGACTAAAGTAGATTTCTAACATGTGATCAAGAAAGCTTTGAGCTAGTTAAAAAAGATTTAAGCCTCATTTCCTAATAGGGGAGTTGTTAAAAGAAGGGAGTTCTTGCGTCTCTCCAGCCTTAACCCAACTCTTTAATATGGCTAGTCCTCAATTTACGACCCCAATTGGGACCAGAATTTCCATTGTTAAGCAAGGCAATGTTAAACGAGTCACTGCCAATGTTACAACCCATTTGTTTTGGCCATTTTTCGCTTATTGAAAGCTGGCTGGGACGGTTACAAACAATTTTTTAAAAATAAATTTATATTATTATTTGAGTATTTCTTAATTCTCTGCATTTTAGCTTTCTTTGATGCCACCCAAAGTCACTTGTTATGAGATGGACAGCTATACAAATTGATAAATAAATACTTTGTGCATTTATTTTGCAAACCAAACCAAATCCAAGCGTTGAACCCTCGTGAAGAAGGGGAGCTGCAAAGCTGCCAGTTCACCTTTCTTCGTTCTACTTAATAGCCCCTACAAGCTGAGCCATAAAAGGGCAACTTGTCAGCATTTTTTGCAGTTATGTGCTTTTCTCAGCAGTTGCAATCATCATATTACAGTACAGCAAATAAGAGAATAACAGAGTTGGAAGGGACTTTGGAGGTCTTCTAGTCCAACCCCTCACTCAAGCAGGGGTTGGACTCGCTCAAGCAGGGGTTGGACTCAAGCAGTCCAACCCCTCTACCATTTCAGTCAAAGGGTTGTCCAATCTCTTTTTAAAAAACTCCAATGATGGAGCAACCACAACTTCTGGAGGCAAGCTGTTCGACTGGTTAATTGTTCCTAAACTGTTAGGAAACTCCTCCTTGGTTCTAGGTTGCTTCTCTTCTTGATTAGTTTCCACCCATTGTTTCTGTAAGTAACCAGACTGATTTTAATCAAATAACAGAAGAACATTGGAAGGGACCTTAAGAGGTCTTCTAGTCCAACCCCCTGCCCAAACAGGAGACCTTACACCATTTCAGATAAGTGGTTGTCGAATCTCTTCTACGTTGTGTGTGCAACCACAGTTACATTTTGAAGCACCGGTTGGATTGTGATGGGGGTACATTCTAAAGTAATGGGATGATGAAAGTTGGGGAAGGGGTTGCCTAGGAGTTGGGGGCTGGCATGCATCAGGTATCCCTGCCAATGGGAAAAAAAGGGCCCGTTAAATGTTATGCAGAGCCAGACTGCTGTCCAGAAAACATCCGCTTTGTTCCGCTTTCCAACAAACAGCGGGAGAGTCAGGAACAGCAACAATTTAACTTTGAAAATTGCATCCATGCCATGGCCCCCGTCCAGGACTCTCATTCATTGGCACAAAACTCTCGCCCGCAGCTTGTTCTAGGCCACCAGAGGACCTGAGAATTTGCAGACCAGGTTCAAAAAAAACAAGCAAAGAGGGAAGCGTAGATCCCAAGTACAAAACGAAAACGAGAGTGTGCAGAAAATAATAATAATAATAATAAAAGTGATAGCTCTGTTTCTATCTCAAGACAAACAACGGAGAGTTTTGGGTTTGCAGCAAGAAGGACAAGCAACTCGCTTAGCCCAAAGCCATCAAATCAAGATTTGCTTCCCACGTTAGGAACCCATCTTGTGTGTGAAACTGACTAGGTAAAACTCAGATCGTTTCATCGAATAACTGAGCTCAAGATTAATGCCAGAGAAAGGAGGGGATGGGCAGCTTTAAGGGGGTGCAGCCAGTTCAGTTTACTAGACGGGAAAGAAATGGGTCCATTTTCTCGGTTTTGAACACAACACACCCCAAATATGTAAATAAGCCATTCAGGCATGGAGTTCTCTATTTAGAGCCCTCACCAACATCTAAATTGGGAAAGGAAACCTCTTCCTTTCCCAAAAGCATTTTACAATCAAGGCTTGGCAAAAACGCAGAGCAGGGCCCTCCCCTTCCTTCATACTGTAGCTTCCCTCAGGCCATCCTGTTTTCCCCCGTTCGAGATACTTGCAGAGGGACCTGGACACAAGTCAGAAAAAGGTCTGTTAAGTCAGCAACGATAGTGGTGGGGTGACTGCAGCCCTGCCACTGTAGAAAGGCCGGGGGTGGGTGGGTGGGTGGGTAGGGGAGGATCTACAGAGGCAAATGGGAAGAGAGGATCCACAGCCGGAATGAGTGGGAAGGGGCCTTGGAGGTCTTCTAGTCCAACCCTCTGCTCAGGCAGGAGACCCTACACCATTTCAGACAAGTGGCTGTCCAGTCTCTTCTTAAAGGCCTCCAGTGATGGAGAAGGAAGGAAGGAAGGAAGGAAGGAAGGAAGGAAAGAAGGAAGGAAAGAAGGAAGGAAGGAAACCAGCAAATGGTTGTCCAGTCTTTTCTAAAAAACCTCGAGTGATGGAGAAAGAAGGAAGGAAGGAAAGAGAGAGGGAGGGGGGAAGGAAGGAAGGAAGGAAGGAAGGAAGGAAGGAAGGAAGGAAGGAAGGAAGGAAAACAGCAAATGGTTGTCCAGTCTCTTCTTAAAAACCTCCAGTGATGGAGAAGGAAGGAAGGAAGGAAAGAAGGAAAGAAGGAAGGAAGGAAGGAAGGAAAACAACAAATGGTTGTCCAGTCTCTTCTTAAAAACCTCCAGTGATGGAGAAAGAAGGAAGGAAGGAAGGAAGGAAGGAAGGAAGGAAGGAAGGAAGGAAGGAAGGAAGGAAGGAAGGAATGGTTGTCCAGTCTCTTCTTAAATCCTCCAGTGATCGAGAAGGAAGGAAGGAAGGAAAGAGGGAGGGGGGAAGGGAGGGAGGGGAAGGAAGGAAGGAAGGAAGGAAGGAAGGAAGGAAGGAAGGAAGGATAACAGAGTTGGAAGGGACCTTGGAGGTCTTCTAGTCCAACCCCCTGCTCAAGCAGAAGACCCTCTACCATTTTGGACAAGTGGCCGACCAGTCTCTTCTTAAAAACCTTCAGTGATGGAGCAGCCACAACCTCTGGAGGCAAGGCGTTCCACTGGTTATTTTGTGAATGTGGAGAGGGGAGGGTGGCTGGATGGGTGGAAGGAAGGGAGAAGTTATGGCAAGGCATAACTTGGCATAACTAAGAGCCTTGATAGTACAGTGGTCTACGCACCCTGTTATTAACACAGCTGCCTACAATTTCTGCTGGTTCGAATCTCTCCAAGGCTCAAGGTTGACTCAGCCTTCCATCCTTTCTAAGGTAGGTTAAATGAGGACCCAGATTGTGGGGGCAATAAGCTGACTTTGTATAAATATAAAAAAGAATGAAGGCTATTGCTTAACGCATTGTAAGCCGCCCTGAGTCTCCGGAGAAGGATGGCATATAAATCAAATTAAAAAAAAAAAAAAAGGCAGCAGAGGACCTCTTAAAAGCCTTTGACCCAGAGACACCTTGGGTTGAGCTACATCACTCAAGAGATCACCACCCATTTAAGAATCCATTCCTTCCCCCATTGGTGAACTTGAAGAGCTGGACTTACTACCAGGAATCTCTCCTTGCTCTTCTCCTCAAAGGATTTTTCACTCCAGTAGATCATTTATATGAACTTTGCAAAAAAAAAAAAAAAAGCATGAATGAGTGTATGGAATTTCTCCCCCCCTGCTTTTCTCCACCCCCCCTCAGTTCCCTTCTTCTCTTCTGCTGAGCCTTTTAGTTTGCTAGCTCGAAAGCAGCGTCTGCATTCGTGTTCCAGACGAAGAAAGCAAACGGCATCCCCTAATAGAAAAAAAAATGGAGAGGATCAAAACCTCCATTCCAATCCAAACATCCGGAAAAAAAAATGGCATCCTGGGCATTTGCATTTCAAGTCGTCGGCGTGCCTTGATTGCGAGCTGTCTTTGCAAACACCTGGTCCACAATCAAGAGTCATAGCTGGATATTGGCACGTCTAAAATCCAAATTACTGGAGGTTTCCAGCCTAGAATTCAGCATAACTGGAAGGGGCCAAACTCAGCTCTGCTGCCTTCTATGCAGAACCCCAGAGAATGTTTTTGGGTCACCACATTACGAAAAAAAAGATGTTGAGACTTTGGAAAAAGTGCGGAGAAACGCACCTAAGATGATTAAAGGCCTGGAGACAAAAATATATGAAGAACGGTTGCAAGAATTGGGTATGGCCTGTCTAGAGAAAAGAAGGACTAGGGGTGACATGATAGCAGCCTTCCAATATCTCAGGGGCTGCCACAAAGAAGAGGGAGTGAAGCTATTCTCCAAAGCACCTGAAGGCAGGAGAAGAAGCAACGGATGGAAACTAACCAAGGAGAGAAGCAACCTAGAACTAAGGAGAAATTTCCTGACAGTGAGAACAATTAATCAGTGGAACCACTTGCCTCCAGAAGTTGTGAATGCTCCAACACTGGAAGTTTTTAAGAAGATGTTGGATAGACATTTGTCTGAAGTGGTGTAGGGTTTCCTGCCTGATCAGGGGGTTGGACTAGAAGACCTCCAAGGTCCCTTCCAGCTCTGATTAATTAGCTTTCCTAGGAACACCCAAACTCCCCTTCCCCATCCCCAGATTTTAAATAGAGTTTACTCTACCTGGTACACTGCTCTGGAGATGCACCATGGTTTAAGCATCAGGCGTACAATCTGGAGATGCCTGAGCCGGTCAGCGCCCAGGACTCGCGAAGTCAGATTCCAGGCGACGGAATGCCAACTAAATAGAAGATCTTCAAACCTAAAAGGCACAGCTGCCATGCCAACTCACAAAGCCAGAAAAGAAAAAAAAACTGGCACAGGTCCCCTCGGTGGTTTGCTAAGTTTCTTCTAAGACTTCTAACAAACGAAGTTAAAATGTCAGTATGATTTTTCCACGAAAGAAAGAAAGGAAGGGGGGAAAAAAGACAAGAAAACTCTGATTTCGTTGGTGGTGGTCATTCTCGGAGAGAACAATTTCTCCCAACGTCCTCGGGGTGCTGCTTGTCCCTTGAATGCCAGAATGAATCTCTCCTTTTGCTACAAAAGGAATGTCTTATCTTTGGGAAAAGTCAGCCTCCCCGGAGATGTTGCTGCTTTCTGCACAGTTCCACACCGGCCGGAGAACTAAAGTTACCAATTGAAATCTGGACTCATTATTTAGCCTCCAAAATGCCAGAATTCTGTCCAGGGAGGATGGAAAACAAGCGTCTTTTTTGTCTGACTGACTCCCTGACTGCCAACATTCTCAAGACATTTTTTTTCTGTTTAACTCTTGAAGATGCAAAGCGGAAGGGCTGAAAAATTACCTTGCCATATTATATATATATATATATATATTAAATCACCCTGTCGGATATTAACCATGAAAAAGGGCCTATCACCAATCATATTCCACATTCCAAAATTATGGAGGAGAGAGGAAGTCAACCACAAATCTACACCACTCCTGGAAAGTGAGACTGGTTAGGAATGTTTTGTGTGTTTCAATTCAGCCCATCCTTAGACTCTGTGGGATAAAATGACTGCCGGATGCCAGTTTAAACGGAAACCCATTAATCCACCCACAGAAGTCAAACAAACTGGATGCGGAGAGGTCAATCAACCAGAATAGAGCTGAAAGGGACCTGAGAGGTCTTCTAATCCAACCCCCTGCTCAAACATCTTTTCAGACAAATGGGTCTCCAATTTCTTCTTCAAAGCCACCAGTGATGGAGCAACAACAACTTCTGGTGGCAAGCTGTTCCACCGGGTTAATTGTCTAAGAAACTAAGTTTCTCCTTAGTTCTGGGTTGCGTCACTCCTTGGTTAGTTTCCATTCATTGCTTCTTGTCCTGCCTTCAGGGGCTTTGGAAAATAAGTTGACCTCCTCTTCCTTGTGGCAGCCCCTCAAGTACTGGAATACGGGCCTGGTAGCTCAGCAGACTAAAAGCATTGTGATTAACACCAGCTGTCTGCAAATACTGTAAGTTCAAATCTCACCAGGCTCAAGGTTGACTCAGCCTTCCATCCTTTCAAAGGTAGGTGAAATGAGGATCCAGATTGTGGGGGCAATAAGCTGACTTTGTATAAATATACAAAAGGATGAAGGCTATTGCTTAAAGCATTGTAAGCCGCCCTGAGTCTCCGGAGAAGGGCGGCATATAAATCATTTTTTTTAAAAAAAATACTGCTATCATATCATCCCTGGTCCATCTTTTCTCTAGACTGGCCATACCCAATTCCTGCAACTGTTCTTCATATGTTAAGACTGCCATAGGTGGTGTTCTGTCCCCCTTCCCCACACAGGCAAACACACAACCAGGCATGCCTGCCAGATTTTTATTAAGCAATCAGACTAGAAACCCTTGCAGATAAGAGTTTTGGCAGTAAACTGCGAAATGCCTGCCAAGTCAGTTTTCACTCACAGTAAACAAGAGAGAGTTTATCCTTAGTCTGGTTCAGTAGCAAAAAGTAATGCACGAAGCAAGAGTTCGCCAAGGTCCAATCCAAATATGCACAAGCCAGATTTCAGGTAACACGATGTGACTCTCAGGTTTTTAACTTTGACCGTCACAAAGCCTGAAGAGCAATCCCACCCACTTTTATTCCTTGTGGGGTGTGGCTCAGTGACTCAGCTCAATCTCTGGCCCACCCACGCCTCTTTCGTTGCTGCGCACGCTTCTCCCTCCGACGCTGCCTGGGATCAAGCCAGGATTCATCATCCTCGCTCCCTATCTGTTGTTGTTCCAATATGCTTTCCTCCTGGCATATCCCAGGCTGTTTTTCTTGGCTTTCGGATGGAACCTGAGGCATTGCCAGAGAGGAGGGTCCTGGAGAGGGAGGCCTTGTCAGTTCCTCCCCATCACCTTCTGAGTCCTCTTCCTCTGTTAGGACAGGCTCAGGAGTTGGGGTCACGACAGGTGGTTAGACGTGCGTGAGACATTGAGGGAGTTCTGGTTGGACCCAGCTGGCATCTCCAACAACTCCCTCAATGTCGCATGCACGTCTAACCACCTATGGTAGTCTTAATATATGAAGAACGGTGCAGATTTGCTATTAAAAAAATAAAGTTATAAATACAGGTACATGCAGATGTTAGCAACATAATTGTATTTGAATACATAACTGAAAAGGAGACAGGAGGAGAGTCATGGCTCCTGATTATACCGCTGAATATTTCCCCCTGAATAATCACAATACGTATTTATTTTATTGGACTAGACTGCCAAAAGACTCCAACATAAGCCATTTAAATGCAAGTTCTCCGAACAAGCTTTAAAACCAGGAGTCTCCTTGATTCAGAACAGCTTGCACCAGCTCCCGTGAAGCTCTTCTGCCTAAGGGGGTTCATATAATATTTAACATGGATTTACCAAAACACAAGAAAGCTGCCAATGGAGGGAAAGGATAAAAAGGTCCTCGCTGGAGAATTCACTCTTTGGAAGGTACTCAGATGCCAAGGAGAAGAGAAAGAGCTTCTGTGCACTTTACAACTGTGAATGCAGAATATGGGAATAACGGAGTTGGAAGAGATCTGGGAGGTCTTCTAATCCAAGCAAGAGAACCGATTCCAGATAAATGGTTGTCCAATCTCTTCTTAAAAACCTCCAGTGTTGGAGCAAAGAAACCGTCCCAATCATTGTTCTCATTGTCAGGAAATTTCTCCTGAGTTCTAGGTTGGATCTCTCCTTGATAGACTTGATGGAAGAGAGGACCTGGTCTTGATTGTTTCAACAAGAGATGTTCTTGAGAGAAAACAGTATTTGTGGAATCCTTGGTGCTCTCTGAGCTTGGTTGTTTTCTCATCCAACTAGGTTAAAATCAACTGTGCTGGAAGCAACCTTCCTTCCTTCTAGCACTGATGATGTTATTTAGTTGGGTGATGAAATATCTGCAAGAAAATAACGAAGTTCAGAGAACACCAAGGGTCCCATCTCCATCCTCCTCCCCTCCCCCCTCCTCCTCCATGCCTTCTAGCACTGATGATGTTACCAAGTTGGGCAATGAAACATCTGCAAGAAAATAACCAAGCTCAGAGAACACCAAGGACCACACCATCCCCATCTTCCTCTTCCTCTTCCTCCTCCTCCTCCTCCTCCTCCTCCCTGCCTTCTAGCACTGAGGATGTTACCTAGCTGGGTGATGAAACATCTGCAAGAAAATAACCAAGCTCAGAGAGCACCAAGGACCCCGCCATACCCATTTTCCTCCTCCTCCTCACCTTCTAGCATTGAAGATGTTACTGAGTTGGGTGAGGAAACATCTGCAAGAAAACTACCAAGCTCAGAGAACACCCATTGCCCCACATATTGTCTTCTACAGGTGTGGTCTATTGGTGTTGCAGACAAGGGCTGCCTTCCTGTGCATTCCAAGCCATCTCTCGCAGATTAAATCTGGAACATTGGCAGTCCTAGCCAGCACCACAGGCCTTAGGACATCTCCAGAAATGGAGCTCCAGCCTTAAGTCCCTGAAGTAGTAACACTGCGGTCCTACCCAAGACGGCAGGGCCATTACTTCATCCTCCCCTTCCTGTCTCCCGCATTCAACCAAGGTTTATGTGGTGCAGCCCGTTCATTCTGGTTTCGGAAAAGCATCTTGTAGCATTCAGTTCAGCTAATGTAGACGTGTCCGGCCAATAGATCTTGTTTTAATCACGGTGTGTTGTTCATTATTTGCGCGGCTCAAAATCACACGTTCCTTTTCAAAGATCTAAACCGTTAGCCTTTGATCTTCTTTAAAAAAAAAAAAAGTAGCAATGATATGATTGCATTATATTGGGAATTAATATACGGACGTTGAGCTCCTAAGACGAGCTCATGGTGCTTTGATCTTGTTCTTGGAGAAATGGGAGGCCGGCCTTCTCTTCTCTCGGCAATTGAATTCTATCTCATTAATTAGAGATTTTCCTTTCATCGGATTCTACAGAAGGCCTGGCTAGATCAGAGCACTCGTGTATACAGTAGTGGCCAAAATTGTGGAAACCTTTTGGGAAAACATCCCTGTCCTAATATTCCTTTTTTACTTACTTTTTTCATGTATTCAAATTATGTTTATACTTTTACCTGTTATCTTATATATGCTTGACAAATAAACTTATGATTATATGATTATGATAAAAGTGTATTTTTGAGGTTTGATGGCTAATAACACCACTTTTTTTTTTGGAAATTCAAGAGAATCCTATTCCACTACTGGAATGGCCTGGGAATAGCCCAGACCTTCACCCAATTAAAAATCTATGGAGCCGACTAAAGAAACTTGTTAGTCAGAAGCAACCCAGCCATAAAACCCAGTTAATAGAAGCCATCATTCAATCTTGGTTTCACATGATAACGGCTGCAGAACTCAAAGACTTGGTTCCCTCCATGGGAAGACGTTGTAAGGCCGTCATTCATGCTAAAGGTTACCCAACTAAGGATTCACTGACAGGGTGATCATTTTTGTATATCTCGTTTTTTTTATGGTGATCATTTTTGTATATCTCATTTTTTCTCGTGTTTCACTTTTCTTCTTTATACTGTAACTGCTACTCTAATAGCAAATCCTTCCTAAAAATCATTGCATTGCATTCTTGATTAAATTATCTTTCCATTAATATATCATTTTATGGTACTACTCCCAAAAAAAAGGGGTGTTATTAGCTAGTTTTAGAAAATAACACTGTTCCCAAAAGGTTTCCACAATTTTGGCCACTACTGTAGAGTCACCCACTTGTTGGCTAGAGACTTCTACAAAACTCACAACTGTGGCCTGGTTTTGTGACTGTTTGAAGTTACAACAGCACTTGAGAAAGTGACTTATGACCGTTTTTCACCCTTACGGCCATTGGAAGATCCTTAGGTTATGAAATCAAAATTTGAAAATGAATTTTGGCAACTGGCTCATATTTATGACGGTCAGTGTCCTGGGATCACATGATCCCTTTTTGTGACCTTTTGTCAAGCAAAGGAGGAAGCCTGATTCACATAACAACTGGGTGACTAACTTAGCCACTGCAGTGATTCACTTAACAACGCTGGCAAGAAAGATCGTAAAGTGGGGGGAAATTCATTTAATACCTGTCTCGCTTAGTAAGAGAAAATTTGGGCTGGTCGTACGTCGAGAACTACCTGTAATGACTTTTAACCATGATAGCGATTGATAGCTGCCATTTGAAGGTAAACATTTTAAGGTGAAAAATGTTGATT